GGGGAGACCCGGCGCCGCTGCCGCCCCGCGCCCGGCCCCGACACTGCGGGCGGAGACGAGCTCGGCGGCTCCTCGGACGCCGCGGCCCGCACGGCTGTGTTTCGTCACAGGAGAGGCAGTCCAAGACTCTCAGAGCATTCCTTTTGCTTTTTTTTTTTTTTAAGTTGTCAAACCCTATTGAGCATTCTTGATTTTCTTCTGTGTAAGTCATCGCGATCCACTAGCGCTCGTATCCACCCGAAAGCTGGAAGGATAATTACATCTTAAGAGCTTGGAGGAGAGTTGGGCTGCGCAGAAGCAAAGGTGTGACCTCCCCGGATCACTACTTTGAGGGTGCCAGCGTTCAGGAATCCCACGAGCTTGTGGTTGAGGCCACTTAGACGCGTGTATTATTATTATTTTTTTAAGTGTGTATATTTGTAAAGGAATAGGTTTGGAAATAAATGACAGTATACGTGTGTTCTCTTTGACTCCTTGTGTCTCCTTGTCGAACTCAGACCCGGTTGTTTATATTCTGTTGTAACATGATTTCCAGCAAAGAAACTTGACTGCAGATATGTTGTGATTCCGTTCCTAGTCAAAAGAGTTTAAAAATTGTGATGGTTTCTTTGCTTATATGAGACAAGCAGCTCAACTCTTGCAAACGACTGAAGCCAGTTGTTAGGAGTGAGTGCCCTTGCTCCATGCTCTGGTACAGCTTGGTTTTCATAAAATCGACAACTTAATTGTTTGATTAATATTTTTTATGACATTTCAACATAAAGTATTTCCTCCCTTATTGCATTTTCTGTTTTCTCCACTGTACTTTTTTTGATTGTGTTCTTTTCTCTTTCAAGAAGTGTTGCCCATGGGAGCAGAGATAGGTCACCCCACACAGACGTTTGTCCTTGTATAAACACATTGCCCATCAGCTCAGCCTCAGTCTTGAGACTCTCTTTTCCTCTTTGGGCCATGCTTGTTATCTGTGTCTTGTTTCACAGTTAAGGTAAGGTATTCAGGGATAACTGTTTAATACAATTTAAAAAGCTGCATAAAATTGCCATACTAGCGCTGAAGGTTAGAACTGGTTTGTTTTTCATGTGAGATGCAAATATTGGCCAGTCTTTCTAAATGATGTGGGGGAGAAAACAATCATGTAGACTTCCTTCTCACAGTAGAAGATTGAGAAAGACTTTATAACACTGATGCTTAAATTATCCTGTGAGTACTTCCTTCCCTTGCTGGCTGCCTCATGTTTAGATCTACTTCTCCTGGATGGAAACCTTTGGCCAAGTCTTTGCTGGTTAGCTTGAATTGCTGTATCATTTATAGATTTTTAAAGCAAGAGGTTGAGAAGACAGAGGAGTTCTGGGGCCAGATCTGTGAGCAAGCAAATCTGAAAGCACTTGTTCCTTAAAGTCCTTATGTAAAGAGATAATCTTTCATTTTATATAGGTGCTGTTTCCAGAGCTGCTGCTTTTTTTTTTTTTTTTGTAGCTCCCTCCTTACCCCCCCCTTCTCTGTGTTCTCATTTTGCTAAGCATCCATGGTCTCCTTCAAAGATCCGTCTTTTGGTAACTTAATGTATCTAGTAAAAAGTAGACAGCCCTGGGCTTAGAAGTAGTTGAGTAAAGTAGCTCTTAAAAAGTTTCACTTCCTCAGTAATTGTTATCTAGTGGTCTGCCCTGCTTTTCAGTTTTATATCCCTAGAAGTCATAAATAATCATACTGAGTGATATTGAAGAGGTCTAGTATTTTTTCAGCCCTCCACAGTACTGAAGAGCAATGGTGTTTCTCTGGAGACTAGGGTGCATCTGATACAGGCCATGGTCTTTGCAATCACTTGTTATGCATCAGAGAGTTGGACAGTTACTAAGGAGGATAGAAGAAGAATTGATGCCTTTGAGCTGTGGTGCTGGAGAAGAGTACTGAGAATACCATGGGCTGCTAGGTAAACAGATTCATCCTGGAAAGGGTTAAACTGGGTATCTCCCTGGAGGCAAGGATTCTGAGGCTTCGTCTAATATACTTTGGACATGTTGTAAGGAGGGACTGGTCCTTGGAGAGGGACATCATGCTTGGTAGGGTGAAGGGACAGAGCAGGAGGGGAAGGCCCTCTATGAGGTGGATTGATTCAGTGACTGGGATAATCGGTATGGGTGTATCGGAGACAGTGCGATTGGCACAGGACAGAGCAGAGTTTAGGGTTGTACATAGGGTCGCAATGAGTCGCAAGCAACTCAACAGCACATAACAACAACAACAACAACAACATAATGTGAAATAAGTGTGACAGAACAACTTTTTATCAGAAGTGTTGTATACATTTGTACCATCGGGGAAGAAAAGTGCTATTTAGAGTAATTTTTACCCATATAAGATGAATGGAGTCAAACTGCTAAGAAAAAGAAATGGTTCTTGGTTCACATCTTTTAGCTTCATTTTATGCCACATTAATGCATATAATCAGTTAATGTGAAAACAAATCAAAACCCAGATCTGTGCTCAATTGGTAAGTGAGATGGATTGACATGGTGACTACAGCAGTGGACCTAAGCACAGGAGAGATTGTGAGAATAGCACAGATCAGGCACGATTTCATTCTGTTGTACAGAGGGTCACTATGAGAGCCAGCTTGATCAGGCCTAACAGGTACCGAGATAGAAAAGGTCATTCACATTGGAGGATGAGAAGTCACTTATTTTACCAAGTCCGCTATGGATCTTTCTGTGACTTAAATGGTTGTGAGGACATAATCATATTTAACTAGTCTTTTGTTTTGTTTTTCTTCTTAAATAATCTGCTTTATGTTGTTGTTGAGTTGGAACCCACCCATAGCAGACCCTCCTGAAGGTTTTCAGAGGCAGTTAACCACACAGGAGGAGATTGCCCATCCTTCTCCCACACAGCAGCTGGTGGATTCGAACCACGCCTTCGGGATTACAGCACAACTTCTTCCCACTAGGCCACCAGAGCCTAGTTAAGAAACTAAAAATCTCAAGCATGTTCATGCTTTTACATTTTTCTGGCTTTAGAATTGTGCCCTAAAGACTCTTACGAAATCCAATAGGTTATTTGCCCTAGTCTCTCTGCTTTTCTCTAGATTTCCTTTCAGAGCATTCCTTATCAATCACTTGATTTTAAGTCTGGTTCTGATGTACTTGTTTTATTGTGAACTATGTGTATATTTTTTTTATGTAGGTCACAGTGGTTAAATGGTGTATTTAGGTTTTTAAGGGAAGAGAGGGAAATATTTTCTTTTTTAGTTATGCTATAAGGTGGAGCTCTCAGATTAAGACATATTTGGAATCAGGAGTAGCAACCACTTCCTAAACAGCATGACTCTGGAAAAGCTATAAACTTTGAGAAACGATATAGAAAGACTTTGGTCTTTTGTTCATAGTGTCGCTATGAGTTGCTCAACTTGACAAAAATCAATAACAGCAGCATTATAAGTTTATAGGTTGATTACAGCAAGTACAAGTAAAGATAAAATACTGGCTGTTATTCAAAATAGAAAACACAGGTAAAAGGTAACTACTTAGACCTTATCAAAAATTATGCTTCCTGGTGGTTGTTGGTTTGTTGTTTTGGGTTTTTTTTTTTCTTTTCTGAGAAACATTCTAGGAAAAGGTAATCTTAGCACAAACTGTGAGGCCTACCTGTCAGAGTTAAATCCCAGCGCTACCACTAACTAGCTAGCTATGTGATCTTAAGTAAATGAAATTCCCTGTGCTTCAGATTCTTTTCTATAAACTGTCAGTAATAAGAATACTTAATTTTCTTTTTTAAAAAGAATACTTAATTTACAAGGTGATTAAAAGAATTGAATTTGTGGTGTGTTCTATGCCATCAAGCTAGCACTGGCCCATAGCTGACCCTCTAGATTTTCAGATGCAGTAAATCGTATGAGAGGAGATTGCCCAACTTTCTCCCTTGGAACAGCTGGTGGATTCAAACCCTGTGCCTTCAGACTGACAGTGCAGGTCCTGATCACTGCTAGACCACCACAACTCCTTGTTCTAAGAATTAAGTTAGTATATGTGTTGTCATAAACATATGTGTTTTTATGATAGATATTTACATGTGTCAGCTAGTTGGAACAGTGGATGCTCTATAATTGTTGGTTGCTGTCAAGTCAGTTCCTTATGGTGACCCCATGTGTGCAGAATAGAATTACTCTGTAGAATTTTGAAAGCTTTTGATGCACATTATCAGGTCTGTCTTCTCCAGTTCTTTTAGTAGTTGAGTCTAATCATTTGCACTACCCAGGGACACACAGTAAGTAATTATTGTTTTAATCTCTAGAGATCATTTATAAGTGTTTTTAGCCATACTTTTAACCACAGAATATTTTCACACCACATTCTTAACTGATTCTTTCAGTTGCTTGAATTATTCATCATGGATATATTCTTTATACAGGAGAGAAATTGAAAAAGCCTGTAAGATTTTATTAATATTGTTTGCTCAATGAAGTTGCTTCAAAACCTGTTGGAGGTTAGGCATTAGAACTCTTGTGGTAAACAGACGGACTGTATTGGCCAGAGCCATGGCTGTGGCTGACCTAATTTCCTTATTTCTCATTCCTGTGTCCAGGCCATTTGACAATTTCAAAACTTTTAAAATTTAAGAAATCAGAAATTATTGCTCACTTTCCATGCTCCCTCTACTTTGTCACCACTTATTTACACATAATTTCTCAGCCTTTGCCCCAACATCAAAGCATCTGAGTTAAGTAAGCAGGCCCTGTAGAGAGGTTGTGTTGTATGGGGCGGCAGCTCTGAGAAGAATGTGTGTGTTTTTGTTCGTTGGCACTGGTAAGGCCAGCTCCAGGCTGACAGGACTGAATGTGCCTGTCAGAGATTTCAAGGGGCTGCCTCTCCCCTCCGCTTGTTGTGAAGCACAGATCTTTGTAACACTCAGGATGGGACGAAGAAGGTCAGTACCTGTAGCTGCCCCAGAATTTCCTGACAGCCCTATTTATTCAGTCATTTGGCATCTCTTCATGCTGCCTTCTCCAGCACTGTGAACATCCACCTCCACCCTCTGGATTATTTAATCTTCTCTTGTGTTTCTGTTGCTTCCATTCAGCTTTTAGGGCTTTTGAAGGGGTTTCTTGGTTCTGGGTGCATAGAGTGAGCAAAGTCCTCATTGAAGGATCCTCACCCTTGCAGTGTACTAGTCCGACCTTTATCCCCTGGAGGAGTGCTGGAGTCACTTCCTGCATAATTTATCTGGGGAAAGGTAAGCCCTCATCTGAGGTTTGGTTGAGGTGAAGATGATGAGCTCCTCAGGTATGACATATAGCCTAAAGGGAGTGCCATGGAACAATTTGGTTCATCCTCTGCTGACTCAGGCTCTGTGCATGCGTTCTAATGAGAAATCTTTCTGCATATCATGTCTGTTGTGGAGATAACCAGAAGAAGGTTAATGTTCTTTTTAATTTCTAATGGCTGTTTTATTTTTGTAATAGTAATAGCAGTGATATGCTCTCCATTTGATCTCTTTCATGTCAGGATCACAAAAATTGTTAATGTTTCAGTGGCCCTCTGCCAGTTTCTAGTCAGCTCTTGCCAGCAGACACTGGCTACTAGATTCAGAGTGCCCCCCAACTTTGCCCTAGTTACCCTATGACTCTTGTGTGGTCATCATCACACTGCCTGGAGCAGTGCTCATCAGAGCATTCCATACCCCACCCCATTCCATCCTGTGGTCCTCAATTTCTCTTTGTAGAAGGTGAACTCTGTTTAGAATTTAGAGAAACAGTACTTAGATGTTTTAAATGAGTAGGAACTCTAGTATGGGCTAAGACAGACAAAAACAAATTTGGCATGCGTGACATTAGCTGCAAAATTATTATGAAATCAGGAGCTCTAGTGATGTAGTTTGAAGCATGTTGTGCTGCTAAACAAAAATGTTATTGCATCAACACTGTATTTGTAAATTTCTATTCCAGTTCCTTTTTAACCCTTTGAAACCAATGCTTGAATTGAGTATTTTATC